AAAAAAGGTGGGGGGGAGTTCTGGGGCAGTATACTTTCCATTTCTTTGCTTATTATATGATAGAAGTTACTTTAACCTCTAATAAAGCTGTTCCCTCCCCTCCTTTTTTTTTACCTATCCAGCAGTCCACTTTCTTTCCAAACCTCTGAAGAACATTTATTCCTAATTTTTCTACAACAAAAATGAATATATGACAGCGCTAATGATATCTAAATGCAGTGGAAGGACAGCTGTTTATTGGTAAATCTTCATTTAAAGACAAGTATCTTTGAGACTTTATAGATGTATTTAAAAATAGAATAAATAAATCCAAAAGAGCTCCTAACTCAGACTTCAAACAAGTTCCATTTCACTGCATGATTAATATTACTATGGAAGCTACATAAAACTTGAGAATATATGCAGAGCCAAACGTAGCCACAAACTCCTTATCATACAAGCATACAAATAATGTAATGCTTGAGTAATGGCATTATCTTTAATTGCACTGCTAATGTTTCGAACTCTATTAGACCACTGCCTGTCTTTTGTGCTTAAGGCCAGGATCATTTCACTATTTTGTTTTCTATGAATACCTACCCGACAAATCTCTGTAGCCACCAGCATGCTGAGACAATTGAACCAATTGTCATAGGCTTCCAAATTATAGGTTTTGGTCACATCGCCTCGACACTGTAAGAGAACAGGTCACGTGTTAATCCTATTCTGTATCATTATAAAGTCAACATACCAAAAGACAAACTTCCCTTTCATGTCTTGATAAAATCTCATTAGATATTTCTTCAGGCATGAGCTTAAAGAAGGTTAGAAAATGTCAGCCTTTCTTGCACAGGTTATACTCGAATCGTGGAGGTTCTTTACTCTGGTTATTCTTTATTTCATTTTCCCTTTGTACCCCTTCTTTTACCTTGTGATTATCCAGGGAGTCCATGTGGCTAACAATCTGCATCAGATCCTCCGGATAAATGTTGCTCACCCTTTCCTGTGTTTGGGGAGATGAGAGATTGTCACTGTACAGACAAACAGGGAGTTCATCAATAAAGCTCAAAGTTAGGAGAACATTTTGGTAACTTTCTTCTTCTTACAGTGTAGACATGTGAGGTGTTTTTATGGGTGTACCTAATTGGTCTCATTCATTATTTGGTATTTTTTGATTAAAACATTAGAGGCTTTCAGTGAAGCCATAGCAAAATTCATATTGATGATGATATTAATATTTAGTAAATGGAAAATGAAATAATTCACACAAATCAGTATCTCACCAGTTCAATATAAGTCAGCTGCTGTGCCAAGATCAGAGGGTCACAGCACACACTCAGGATGTCCTTTTGAGTTGACTGTGGCTTGGTTTTAAGGATGGTGCCTTTGTCAGTAACAGGTTGCCGGAATTTCTCTCTGATTTCCTGGTACTGGCTCCGTGAAGAGAGGGCCATTCGGAGATTCTGTGTCATTTGGCTAATGATCTTTTTCACTGTTCCATTTTCCTAAGCAAAGGGCAGAAGCAATGACTCCAGACACAGACTGCCAAACAATTTGTGACAGGGAAAAATAAATGCCTGTTATCCATTTTATTTCATCTTATCTGATCATCCTATGACAAATGAACTTGTCCTAACTGCCCACACATCTTCATACTGATACTGTTGTGCCTGTCGGCCTCCCCAATTCTGTTTCACTTGCTTGGCTGGTTTGCTCCTTGGGACAGTTTCTGGCTAGTACCACACTTCAAAAGACATCAGGGTAAACAGCTTAAAAGCGTGTATAGTGAAAGGTGGTTGAGTTGCTTGCACAAGGTTTCTTGGATCCTCTGTGTACCAGCTGCCAAAAAGCTCTTTCTTATTCTGATCGTATCGACTGATGATCAAGTCTATCTAGCCCAGGCATAATCTAGGGAATTCACATTATGTTCAAGAATATATCCCTAAAAACCCTGGCTTGGCTTTGAACAACTATAGCATCCAAAGGTGTAAGTAAGAGCACAATGTACAACATGTTCTTGGACAACTCAAATGCATTCCTGTTTATCAGGTGCAGATTTTAACCTTAGGATCTATAGGGATACATACTGGTAAAGCCATAAAAATATAATCCATCCACTCAGTGTTTTGACAAATAAGGCAAGCTGAATTCTGTCTGCTGTTGATTGTTTGCGTCCTATAGACATTTCTCTGTGAGGTCAACCCTAAAGAGCTAACTATCACTTTCCTACCCTTACATGCCTCCTGTTAGTGCTTTAAACGACACAGGTTCTCCAACCCTATTATTCCTGCTCCTGGCAAAACTAATTCTACCAAAGACAGTCCTTCTCCCCTTTCCTATGCAATTGTTTTCTTGCTTTAATGCAAATTATTTCTCTTGACGTTAGCCACAAGGTTAACAGTTAGTTTACAACCTACTGTTGGTTTCTGACAGTCAACTGGATGCACTAGAAAGAACTGCAATGAATCTGTGATCATTCAGAGAAGGCACTAATGTGCAGTGATGACTGAAATTATGTAGCAGATGTGAGAGACTATGACTACCAAATACTTGTATATTGCATGCTATAATTAAGCAATAATAGTGTCAGAATGTTGCTTTACAAGGCAATAATCTGACTCCCAAGTGAAATCAAATGAAAAGCTGAAGGCAGTGTGCCTCATCTTGATGAGGCAACTGGATTACTACTGAACAGCAGCTGGCTGGAGCCATTTCGGATATCGTGCTACAAGTGTTCAGAAATGCCAAGGGAGCGTGGCGGGGGGACTAAAATAAAGCGCTAATTCTGCTCTTTGGTATGCTGAGCTTTCTATTGTAAATCATTTGACTTCAGCCGCCAGGCCTGACTTACCCATATGTCTGGGATGAGGCAGACCTTCTAGGTATGGATCACAGAGAATGAAACTTGAAGGCAGGTGAAGTATGACAGGTTTGTGAAAATGAACAAAGAAACTGCAGTGACATGGAAAACTATGGCTTGCTTAAGCTGTTGTGAATTTATTAGCGTCTTAATACTTAGACAAATGTCCTTAGAGTGTTAGCAGTTTCCTTTCACTACTAGTCTTACCCTAAATTTTCTTATACCTTTGGAGAATAAGTCAATGAGCGTACAATAATTTGTCCTTGTTTGAATTCAAACAAGACTTCTCTACTTCATTTGGGGTGCAACCCTGGCTGTAGTTGTAGCTATTTGGTATGCTGCCTGATTTCACTAGGACAAGCATCTGACCACTTTGTGCGAGTTCTCAGTTTACTTTCTATCCTATGTATAGACAATAGTGTCCTCAGGGGATCTGGAAAAGCTTTAAAATACAAAGTAAAACCATTACCATAATCCCTTGCTGAAGCACAGTATGGGTAACTTCTTGTGGTAACATATACTGAAAGCAAGAGCTGCTTTTTGTCAGTCTCAAGTTATGTTTCCTAGGGGTCAGATGTGGCGTAGATCTCTGATCAGACTTGACTTGTAGCCTTGTTAAGGGGATAAGTAGAGTGATGCTGTAATTAATGGATGTCATCAGATGCCTCGGACATCAGAGCACTGAGCTACTCTATGAAGATCTGTTTTTCTCAAATGACAATTTATTCATACGTAAG